GGCTGCAGATAGGCAGGAGAAATGCCTAAGGCAAGAATGGAAAGAAGGGATGAGGCAGCAGCTGAAGAACAAGGGAAGTGCTATTGGACTGTGGGGTGCAAGAATGTGCAGGAAGGCAGAACAAAAGAGCATTATTTCAAAATGATGGGAGGGCCAGGAACGGCAGTCAGAGATAACAGGAGTCAGCAGGGGAAGGAACCTGGGTCAGACAGAAGCAGGGGGACTTTGGCATTGGAAAGTTTAAGTGACAAAGAGAGGTAGTGGGGGTTAGCAAATAGAGGAAAAGAAGGGGAAGTCAGAGTCTCTTTATAAAAAGGGTGTTTTGAGGAAGGTCAAGTTCTTTGCATTTGGTGGGCGGAGGGGGGTGGATAAGACATATATTTTAAAATCCTTGAACTGCTTTTCAGTCTTTTGTGTCAACTTAGGTTGAGTTAATTCACTATTTGCATATAACCTGCTAGGTGGTCATATTTGCCATTTTGAGTCTAATTAATCATTAAGGAACCTAGAGCCTGTGTACCGACATTTGAGAAATTCAATATATAAAGGCAGGTGTGCTTTGGTTTGTGTCTTGGTTGAAAACAGGCTTGCTAGGCAGGGACAGATCTGACACCACCTAATGCTGCATACTTATAACCTTCAAACCTTGACAATCTGGTTTCTTTATAAGCATTTCATGTGTGCACTTCTAAGTCAAACTGTATACTCAAAATATCTTCACTGAAACGTCTCATCTATTTGGTGGAGAAATAGGTTTTAAAAAGCTAAATACACTACAAAGGGTGTGAGGCAGTAAAAATACTTCTCTATCTGTACATGCTTAACCAAGGAGCCTACGATAGGTGCCTTCTCAGCCAGTCATAGCCAGTGAGATTGGCCTCTCCAGGGAAGGATTCAGCATCAGGGTCAATTTTCTGAATATTTAGGACAGCAAACAGACTCTGGGGAATGGTACAACTCAGGGACTGACATCAGGGTAGAAAGCCTGCAGGTATGGGTTCAGTCTGCCCATTTTTACATGGAGGAAAATGTAGTGTCTGCTAAAGCAAGGTGTTCCCAAGGGGATAGGATGCAGTCGGTACAAGGTGGAGGAGGATGTGCCTCAAACACAGCTGGACTCAGCCCAGCAGAAACCTCGAGGCAATACCTCACAATACCTTTCCCAAACTTTGGGCAAGTCATGAAGTGTTTTGAATAAACACTCATTGGTCATCTAAGCAGACAACAGGAATTAAAAGGGTAAAATTTGTAACAGAAAGGTCTGTGAATTTCAAAACTCACAATAAAAAAACTCAGTTCTTCCTGAGTGAATCAGACAGAGGAAATGAGGCACATTTCTGTTTAACTCTGATTTACTAGAGCTGCACTTTGCATTTTTGCCATTACTATTAAAGTAATAGTTTTGATTGACAGGAGCTCATTTTTAATTAGCCAGATCAACCAAGGCACAACATCAGCATTTCTGAAAGCATCTGAAAAAGCAGCCTACTTCTGCAAGAAAATCTTATTTCCATTTGAAGATTAAAGGTTCTAGACAGCAGCAATATGTTTCTATCTGCCATTTCAAAAGGAAGACTTGAAAACATCACGCTGTAGCACATGAGAGATTAAAAGATACAGGGAGATATCTCACAACCAATCCTGCTTCTCATAGGTCTTTATTCCTTAATCCTGTCCAGCAACAGTCTTTAACAAGAACAGTATAACTGCATTAATCAAGGATTATTAGCAAGAGATCTTAATGCAGCGTTTTTGTCTACCCATCTCAGATGCACTCTGTGTTTCACTGGAGAATGCCATCATACCTGGATTCAGCAACCAGAGAATCACACACTATTAAGTGAAGCGACCCATCCTGCTTGGTGAAGCAGGTCATGTGGTGGGCCAGAGCAGGACTTGCCCAGCCAGCAGAGGAGCTGGGGACAACAGCAAGGTCTGCTCCTGGCCTACAGCAACTGGAGATCACCACCACTTTTCCCTGCAGCTTGACTTCAATAGCAGCAGGAGACAGCTGTCATACCATTCAAAACTGTGCTGTGCAGGGAAGGGCAGCTGGGAAGAGGAGGGAGAGCATGAATGACAGAGATACCAGAGCATGATCTGCCTTAACTTTGCTCTTCCATCCTATCTGGGAAAGGCCTTGATTAATTCACAAACATAGCAAAGCAACAACGTAGTAGAAAGGCTGTCTAAACCCCGTTATCTCCACTGCTTCTATCACCAGGAGTGTTCTTGCTGTTGGAGACATTTTTAATCAAACAACATTTTCCTGAAGCATACTGCTCTTCCAGAAAACCTTTCTGCTAGCAGATATACTGCTTTCAATTAAAACTACTTGGGAAAGAAGGTAGGGAGGCACACACACGTCCCATGAGTTTTGCAGATCAGTGCCACAGTGACTGAAGAGTACCTGAGTTTCCTAGTAGTTGCACCTACTGCTCTTGCACATCAGGAGAAGCAGAAGCAAAATGTGCAGTGCGCTGAGAACACACCTAGCTATTTTTACACCCAAGCCAGATGTTTCCATTTTTGATGAAAACAGTCCAAAAGAATTTTTTTTTGTTTCAATGTGAAATAGACACAGTCAAAAACCTAGAAACCCACAGCAAAGAGAAATCGTCATTCCCTGGACAGCTGTGACAGGGTGACTGCCAGCTACAGGACATGGAAACAAACCCTTTTGGAAAATATTCCTGCAGCTAGACTGCACCACTTACATTTCTCTCTCCTCAACTTCATAATCTCCTTACATTAAGCACTGGGGGGCCTGAGCATTATTTTTTCCTGCTGTTGGGTGGACCTGTGAACAGCTATCCATAGGGATCCTTTTGGAAGAATAAGCTGAGCCAAATATTTCCATGTAATAAATTTCGACTCCACAACCCCAAAGTTAAACACTGGAAACACTAGGACAGATTTCCTCTGGCAGTGGAAGTCTTGATGGCTTCATGCTCCTGCACACCACTAACTCTGCCTCTCTGATTTATACCAGATTTCCTAGACCTGCAACACAACCATTTGCAAACCTTACAGGACATGTTTACCCTCTGATTGGCAAACTATGCAATTGCACATTCAGCGTGCAAGGACTTGTTAGACACCCAGCTTTGGTTTAAATCCTTTTTTTTCTTCATTTTTAGCAGCCATAGCTGCTTTAGCTGACACCAGGGGCTTTGTCACTTCTGCTCAGCATCAGCAAGGTTTTCACTTTCCGTCATAACCACTTAATGGCATGCAGAACATGGAGACTAACAGTCTAATTGCTTTGCTGTCCTCCCCGTGCAGCCTTTGTTCTCCAGGAGCTCCTTTTGAGCGAGCAGGCTCTCCCCTCCAGCTGCAGTAGCTGGGCTTGAGCGAGGCTGGGAAGCCACTGGCAGCAAACCCGGGGCTCTCACTGACATGGTCATTATCCTTGGGGATTCACAGGCAAGGCCTGTCTAAATGTCACCTCCCAGGCACAGCCCTGAGTGCCCCTGGAAGTGATGAACACAACACGACACTGTTTTAGTACTGGCCAGGCTACTTAGAGGGGTTATAGTTAAGATTCAGCCTTTCCTTACAGCTGGCAGTGTTCTGCTTTCCCCTCTCCGATCCCACTAGCCTAACACGCATACTGCAGTCCTGGAAAAACTGCTCCAGATTTCCAGAAACCGTAGCAAACTTGCACCACCTATCGACACGACAGAGCCATTGGTTTGGGGCCAGAAACCCCGCACAGCAATCCAGCAGTGCTTAGTGATACTGATCATTGTGCTCCCAGCGTCCTACATTATAATGGACCTCTAAAAAGCAGCACTGTTTGGCACACGCCAGGGTGCACCTGACCCGACTGTATCTTCTGCCCTCCCACACATGCACCCCTCCCAGTACAGTGTGTAAGCCTGGGGGCCCCCGGGCTGCCCGAGGTGTGCTGTTGCTGCTTTATCAACAGCTGTGCTTTGCAGAGGAGGTCCTGTGCCTCCTCACCTCTGGCTCAGGCATTACTGGATTCCTTGTCACAAAGAGCCCTGGCCACAGAGAACTTCCTCTACTTGAAATTAACTTTCTTCCTCCTTTCCATTTATTTCAAGAACTCAAAGACAACACCTTATCCAATTTAATTTATTCTTACTGCATAGGAAACTCTCAGCTTACCCCCTACCCTACCGACCCTGCAGGGAAGGGATACCCATCCCTTGTTACAGACACCCCTAGCACCTCCACACCACTGAGCCTTTCCTGCACACCTCACAGCAGGCACCGAGACATTGCTATCATCAGAAATACTACATTATATAAAATTTTCTCCCATGTCATCTGTCCTCTGTGTGCAGCAGAGAGCTACAGATACCTGTCCTAGATGGCAACATCCACGGTGACTTCTTTGAATACCAGTCACAGCTATGAGTGCTGAACATGGCAGAGAGTCGGCACCATGCCTGCCAGTGACCAAAGAATGCTATTTCTTCCTCACCTCTGACCACCACTCCCTGCCCTCAGCTCATGGTCTCTTCAGAGGAGGCACCTCAGTGACCTGACAACACAGCAGCCTCTCAAAGCACAGGGCTGGCGTGACCAAGACAGATATCAGCCCTGCCCAGGGCACAGAAGCTGGGAAGCTTTTCTTTTGGTTTTTCCTGGTGTGGGAAAGGAGATGTCAAACACCCTCAGAACAAGAGCTCCAAAGGAATACAGGGTTTCTGGCTAGGCTCTTCCCAGACAATTTAGCTGCTATTCAGCGTGCCCCACGTTTTGACCACAGAAATGGTATATTAATTCCCCTGCAATGCACTGAGCTTCCTGCTGTGGGTATTGTGGATTTGCTTCATATTATAACAATTTTAACTTGCAGGCTTCAGCATTACCAGCACACATTACACTTCTACTCCTTTAAAGCTGTGTACCTGCTGGGGAAAGCTGGTTTTATTCCCATTTTCCCCATTATTGCCTGGCCCATGCTCCACTTCCTACCTGCTCTGAATTCTTTTCCAATAATCAAATCAAGGCAATGGTGTCAGCATTTTCAGATTAGGTCCAGATATCTATGACCCTCAGGGATTAATTTCATCTTATTCATAAGAGGAACACAGGGGAAAGAGCTACCACATGAACACTCAGGATTTGAACAGCACCTCCCGTTCTTCGTCATGAATCCGTTTCTCAAACACACACATTAAGTTACATCAATTCCTCTGAAGATAAAGAAACAGGCAATACCAACCAGATGAGAATTTGTCCAAAAACAATAAAATGCACAGTGCAGAGGGCAAAGACAAGCTGCTGTTTGCTTCTTTTGGTGCTGGCAACCAGAGAGGGGATGTGATGGTGCCATTTCATAAGTGCTTCAATGGCTTCAACTCAGTTACCTCAAACTCAGAAATTCTACTTTTTAGGGCATTCTGATGCTTAGCAATTAGGTGGAACTTCCTTTCCTGATTGAAATAACACACAAGTCCTTCCAGGATAGTCAGCACTTGGGGAAAAAAACACTGACTTGGGAAAATTTGGGAACATGGATTTCAAAGTTTAAATTTGAATTTTATTAAGGTGTAAACCTGCTTCAAACCTGTATCAATTAGGAGGCAGTTTCCTGAAGAAAGCCAGAAGTACAATCCAGTTCTAGTCAGCACAATGTCCAGTTGCCTCTAATGACCTTTAATATAAGAGAGACTATTTCAGTGTTTATGTTACACTGATGAATCACAATAAACTACAATACAAGGGATGCAAAATTTGGAAACCACTTTTTCTGGCAGTTTTCAAAGACAGATGGAGAAACACTCCTTCACAACAGAGATTGTTCAAATAAATGAATAAATAAATTATTAAATAAAAAGCTATTTCAACCTTGCTGGCCTGATCTACTATGATCTATCAAATCTTTGAGAGACCTCAAGCAGCTTACTTGTGTATTTTATATACTTACACCCCAGGTATATTAGTCAGCACTTGGAAGAGAAATTGGTGGCATCCAGAGGCCAATTTATTTCCTTTTGCAAAAGATTCAGCTTCATACCAGCTTTGAGGCTCAGTTTTACATAGTGCAGCATCTGCCAAATGACAGCAATCTCCAAGCACAGGTAAGAACCTCATGCCAAGAAAATATAGCAGTTATTTCTTCAACAGTTTTGAACAAACATGTCTTAGCTTTACAACATATTTATTATATTACCCAGTCCATTACTCTGCATGAGCTCTACAACTGAAAAGGTCTGTCAGATTTGAGGTATTTTAATCCATTTTTTCCAAGCCTCTCTTTTATATTTGGAAAAAATTACACTGATTTCTTTCTTTATATATTATGTATCAGTAGTTATATATATAAATATATATATTTATGTATTATATATCAGAGTATATATCGTTATATATTATAATTGCAGAATAACCTACTGTAGCCTAAAAAATAGTATTATTATTGTTGACTGTTTCTCGAATGTTCCTTGTCCAGATCACCACCTTGACTGGGATAAAGCAAGCACCAAAGAACTGCAGTGATCCAGAAAGTGCTCACCAACTCACATGAGGGTCAGATTCTCATCTTTATTATAATATTGTTTCTTTACAAAAATAATGTATGAGACAAGTCTTTTGATATTCAATAACCTGTTTACGGGAAATGACTTTACACAAAACATCAGATGACTTGACAGCAGATTGAATTTAAAATATGATTTTTTAAAATGCTCATGAAATTCATATTGCTTTAAATATAAATTAGCGAGAGTGCCAGAAGGGATGAATGTATTTCACTTCTTGACTGCAGATAACTGTAATGTACAGTTTTACCTACATTACCTGTATTCATTGTACTTTCTCAGCTGCCTGGTCACACAGACCTCCTGGGAATGTCAGGAGGTGAAGGAACGAAAGGAGAAGCCTTTGGACAGACGCACTGCCATATCAGTGCCAGATCAAACCTGGCTATCCTGGATCTGCAGAGTCCCAAGAGAAAAGCAACAACTGCAGGAGATGAGGGGTATCATTTTGCTTTCGCAGCCAGATTGTCACCTTGGTTCCAAGAACATTAACTGCACTACTGCAATGTCCCACCCTCGGGGGAAGGGAGCACCCCAGATTCGCAGGTGCTCGTGACCGAAAGGAACGAGGGTCAGAGGGTCTGCAAAAGTTTACAGAGTTTTTTTAGTAAATTACACACTCAGCATGGAAACTGGTACAATAGTCCCTGACCTCCTATATAAGCACACTGCAGTAGGCTTTGGGTAAAGGGATAGGGTGAAAGGGAAAGAGAAAGAGAGAGATTAATTAAAGAGGAGGAGAGAGAAAGAAAGGAAGAAAGAGAGAAATAGAGATCACCAGCCCTGGCTCCAGCATCGATCCAGCTGATAGGGTGTCCAGAGTCCCAGGGTACCTTTTTATAGATAGGCTTTTCCTGCCCTGGAGGTTAGTTTCTTACTTTCTGTGCAAATTAGTTGTCATGCACAGTTTGTTCTTCTAGGTAACAAGTCAGAGGGCTTTGGGGGTCTCTGATGGTCTTCATCCCCCCTACAGTCCACACCCACTTCTTGAACTTGTTCCTGCACTTATGCTGGACTGTGTTGTGTTCATCTCCAGAAGCCAGAAAAAGAATGTTTGTCCCAGGAAAAGCACTGCCCTACCTCCACATGTCTCTCTTCTCTAGCCACATCCTGTTCTTTCTCACAGTGTGTTATGACCAACAATCCTTTGTCAGCTCCACAGCTATCTGGCTATCGGTGTTTGAACATACACATTAGCCCCTTATCTTCAGGGCTTCTGCAACCTCTGAACACTCATGTATCCAAATTAAAAGTGAAACTAGACCCTTATATCCTCTGACCAATGTTCACCCTATGGCAGTGTCCCTCACTTAAAGCAGTATTGTATTTATTCACAATAAACACAATATTCACAGGGCAAATTCTAAATCTGTTAATTATTCCAATATAAATTCCTCCCACAGCTTTAAACAGAGTCAATACTCTTTATTTTCTGCCCATAAATACACTGTGTTTTAAAGATTTGCTGCCTGCTACCCCAAAGTGAAGCTGAAGAGATATATGCAAATTATTCTGAAAGACCTCTGTGCTCCTAAAAGGAAATATGCTCAACTTCAGAATCTTACAATCATTAACAAATTCATACAGGAATAAACTGGTTCATACTACTCTAATAGATGCCTAGAACAGATGAACAGGCTTGCATAAAATTATATCCAAAATTTCACTTAATATTTGATTTCAACCTCTGACATGAGAAATAACTATCCCACTGGTGCCTCACTTCCCATGCGCACAACCAAATGCCTCTGGACTTCTTATTTTTGCAGTGGAAGCAAACCAGGAGGCAGCCAACACAATCAACCAAGAATCAACCTAATTTGTCTCCACAGTCAGAACACACATACTTGAGACAGTCCTCGAAACCCCAGTACCTGCACAGCTGTGTGCTATCTACACATCAGCTCTTGTTTCACTCTAAGTACAAAATATTTAAAGACACAGTAAAGTGCCACAGATGTGCAAAGTTTAAGAGTGCTTCAATAGAGAGTGACAACTAAAATAAATCCCTCTGCATAAAATCAGCTCTGTGTGTTTTTCCACCCTCTATCAAATTACAGCATCCCCAAATTATGTTAAGAGAAGCCTTGTCTAAAATGTGAGGTGCTGTATTTCATCAACTATCTGAGATGACTCAGGATTACAAGTACTGAAATAAAATGAACATCCTGTTCCAGTTTCTTTAACTAAATTTTCTCCCTCAAATAGCATCAACAAGTGACTCAGTACAATGTCATAACAAACAGTACTTGTGCTGCAGCAAAGTACTTGGCAAACAGCAACTCTCAGAAATAAATCAGTCACGTTTTACTGTAGTTGCTAATAAAAAGATCTTCATTTTATCTTGGAGGGGGAAAAAAAGAAAATAACGTGTAATAACCAGATGGCAAGTAAACAAGTTATTTCCATAATAGTGGGGAAACTATTTGTTTGCATTTGGATGAACCCATAAATGATGTTTAGGACTAAATTTGGCTCCAAGTTGTGACACCAATTTTATAGTGAGAATATATCGCTCTTCAGTCTCAGTCTCACTGTGACCAGCAAAAGGGACATCCTTTTCTCTCCCAGATTTTGGTTAAAGTATCCCAAGCACTAATGCCAGCTAGGGGAGGGGAAAAAATTATTTATGGCACAGCAGGACCAGCCTGCTTTAGATCAGAATCACTTGTGCAGTGAATTAACAGCATTTGGGGCTGCACATAAACTGAACCTGTACTCTGTTCTAGGGGTTTCTGATGCACTAGATCGACACAGTGCGTCTCTCCCAGATACCCAGCCTCCAAGCAGTGGCTTTTTTGCCACATTACTGCTACCAAAGCAACAATATCACTGCACTACTGTCTGCACTGCAAGTTTCTTACATTTGGAGATCCTAGTGAAACACTGAAAGCCTCTTCTCAAACAGCACTCTTCACTCCTGAGCAGTCAGCCAAGTTACCACACATTACATTTTGCTTTATACAAACACAACCTATGTCACTACAGTACCTAGCTCCTGGTAAATAATTCTGGATGAAAGTACATGCCATTTAAAGAATCCACTTATTTCTATCAAACAAAAGTCTCATTAAAAACTGCTTCTCACCTGTAGCACCTCAATAATTAGGTGCAGCTATATTCATTAGTTATAATTCAGAGATTACATGGGATAATAGCATGCTCTAATAGAGAAAAATTATGTTTGGCTTTTAAACATGTGGGTTTGTGGCAATTTCCTTACAGAGGAGCATGCTTTATAAAAACTATGGATACAAAGTCGCAATTTTAATTCTTCGCTGTGAAAAGAGAACACAAAAACAGTTCTCAGAAGCCCAGGAGACCAACCTTGCTGTTTCTTTGGCCACCCTCTTTCAAACATCAAGCAATCATTTTGAAGCTTTGTTTTTGAGCAGTGGGAGCCCCAGGACACCTGTGCTGCCCCAACCCAGTGAGGAGAGCAGCTACAGCCCCTCATGAGAGACCAGAGCACCTGCTGAGGCAGGGCTTTAATAGCAGACAGGTGAGACCTGGGCAGCCAGCACTGTTTGGCAAGTTATGGTCAGAGGGTTCATTTTGTCATCAAGGGTGCTGCAAGCGTCAGAGCTATTACTGGATCAGCTGAGGCGAAGATTTCTTTTCTTGCTGCAGACCAGAAGAATCAAAAAACATTAGCTTATGTTTGCCTTCTCTATAGACCTTAACAACCTCCCTGTGAACCCCTCACTGACAACCTTTAGCTGCCCACTTGCCTGTCAGTTCATCTTCCTGATGTTGGGGTTAGCCCAGTCATATACACAAAATTCAAGCAATAGACAAAAATCACCTTGTTTCACCCTGACAAGCAGCATCAGTTTTGCTTTCCCAATCGACCTGCTAGTTTTTTTGCTAGATTTTTCAGCATCAGAGTTTCACCACATGAGACAGCCTGCACAGCAGCCTCCCTCAAAAACTGAACAGGCACCAGGGCATTGGATTTCACTACAAAACAAACATAAAAGTACTAACAACAAAAAGTGAGCACAGATTTTGGGGATGGTGATGCAGTGTTCAAAGGTTTTAGTGGAGGAGGTTGCTTGTAGTAACCGATCCTGCGTGCCAGTGAAAGACATATTGCCCCCTCGCCCCCGAGATTCACAATACTTTTTTTTACATCTAAAATCATGTGGTGGTGTTTCAGACGTTCCCAGGGATAAGCACTCAGCTTTCAACCCTCTCTTTTCAACTTAAGAAACAAAGTTGTAGTCTTCCAAATATTTTTACAGGGACTTCATATTTAACTTGCCACCCAGAAGGTCAGAGTAGTTTTGGTCATCCCACTTACTCATGTGGTGGAGATATGACCAAAGCAAAGGCAGTATTTGCCTTTCTTAAATCACATAAGAGTTAGTTGTTTTGGCTCAAAAGATTTATTTCAAACCCTCACAAACTTCATGCTATGGAACTATCCACAGAAACATGAACATGCACCAAGCAATTTATTCTACCATGCTACCAAAGTTAGGTGTTTTCTTAAGCAATTGTAGAAAGTCAGATGCATGGAAACAACTGTACCTTTATCTTGTAAAACTAAACATTTTTCTGTTGGAAAGAAAGAAATACTGTTTTTAATGTAGATGTGTTATGAAAATGACACAGCTGCTGCTCATTCACTTACCTCGCTGCTGCCATAATCTCCAACAGCTGCAAATTCAGGCTTTATCTTGGAATGTTCATATTTTGTTTGTGACTCTTGAATGGGATCCCCCATGAAGTGGGGGTTGCTGCCAGGGCAGTTAGCATGCTGGGATGCCACTGTATCGCCCAAGAATTTCACATCAAATGCACTGTCCAACTTTTTGATAGTTCCACTGTTTCAAGCTATCCTAGAGTGGTATTTGAGGTCCTAAATGCTACTGTCAGCCCAGCGTGCTACTTCTGAGCTCTCAACCATCCATCCACCCCTGGGAGAGCTCAGGAACAGCTCCGAGCTCTGCTGAAGAGTCATGCTTTAATGAGGTTCTTCAACAGTTCCTTATGCCACTGCTGGGTAGATTAAAAAAAGATCACGTGAGATTAATTACAGTAATAATTATGAGCTGACCTTCTGGCAGTTAAGCCAGATATCTTGCCTTTTATAAGGGTCCATCTCACAGGTGCAGAATGCTGTAGTTCGTCATGGTAAGTTACTCTTAACCCATTTACAGCTGTGCAATTTGCCTTATTTTATAAATCACTGCCTCAAAACAAGATCAAAACAACCTAAATCGCTCTCATTTTCCATTTGCAAGACTCAGTGCTTTTTCAGAAAGCAGAAAAATATTTATTCCCATGGTAGAGGGAGAGCAGACTTGGTTTTCTCCAGTATTAATCACTCCTGTGCTTGCATCCAGAGATATAAATCTAGATGCTAGAGATAATCAGGAGAGACAAAACTTAACAACTCTAGATTTAATTATTTTATAGCACAGATTAGAAAAAGAACCTGGAGTTAAAGCAAGATATCAACATCCCCACTTCCCAGCAGAGACTGCTGGTGCCCTGGACAGGGTGAGGAGGAGGAAGAGCAGGTGACCTGACCCACTGCCTCCTCTGCCCTGGCCACATGCTGCCTTTGCTCCATGGGGCCTTGGCCACAATACATACCATGTAAACATTGAAAAACCTTCTAAATATCCAGCAGCAGAGCACTATGTGGTTTTCTGGATAGCAAACAGCCACTAGCATTAGCCACAGGTCCAGTGGCCACTCCTCCTCCCACCTCCCTATCCATCACTTCCCTCAAAAATTGGTGTAGCAATAGGTATTTCCAAAACCTGGTTAGACAGACTCTGTGCTTCAGTATTCAGAAACAGATCAGTCTTGGTTTAAGCAGATATTTTGTTGTTGGTTCAGCTCCTTTCCCCCACATCTTGGCATCTCATTGAAATGGGCTTTACTAAGCATTTATATAGTAGAGCTGTAAAGAAACCAGCTAGTGAATTTAAAAGAGTACAGTCCTTGCAGCTTTCCTCTCTGGGAATTTCTTGAAGCACACACAGAAATTTAAATTGTATCACTTTTTCTACAGCATCATAAGTTTTATTTCCCAATCCATACACCAAAGGTAAAAAAAAAAGTCTCAGTATCCCTTCTGCATTAGGCTACAAACTTTGCAGGGGCAAAAGGAGCTACTAAATTACAAAACAAACAATCAAACAAACAGAACTCAAACAAACAAGAAAAACAAAAACTTAACAGCAGGATTACAGTCCCACTTCCAATTCAAAGCCACAAAGATGTTACTGTCTCTGCCAGGAGTACATTGTGTCACTAAAATATTTGCTGCTGCAGGCCAGTAGTAGCCCAGATCGACCAGCTATCAATAGAGCACACCTAACATTTAGCTATGTGGGCCTGGGCTGCAGTCCCTGGAATGACAGTGACAGGCAGTGCCAAGGAGCTTTTATGACAAGGGACGAGCTTTGGATGGGGCAAGGTATGCAGCCTGCAAAGCTGATCCAGGGCAGAAGGAGAACACAGAAAGGCAGGGCCCTGAA